TGTTAATTGAAAATTTATTGAAAATGGAAATTGAAAAGAATGTTTTCTGTTTTAGCGGGCCGCCGCTCGCTCGCAGCCGCTTGGCCACCAAGCCCGGCCGGCCTGCCGCGCGCCGCTCCGCCCGCTCACTCGCCTCGCGCTTGGCCCGCCTATCGCTTCGCCGGCCCAGCCCACGCCGCTTTTTCCCGCCCGCCATGCCAGACCCGCTTTTCACCGCCTTGCACGCATACGCTGGCGCTACCAGACACCGGCGGCGGAGGGTGGTGCCGCTCCGACCGGCAGAGCTCGCCTTCAAGGCTGTCTGTCGTGGCGCTCCTCTCCCCGCACTCCTCGCTTTTGCCGCCTTTGTCTCCTCGCCTCTTGCTCAAGAAGAAGAAGAAATAAGACGCGCCGCGCCACCGTCATTGCCCCGCCGACGACGTGCTCCACCGCCGGCGCTTCATTCTTCTTCGATTCATCTCGCCGAGCTCGCCTCGCCTAGCTCCTTCGCTTGCGCTCACTCTCATTGCCGTCGTCAAGGTAAGGGCCGAGCTCGGCCGTCCCTCTTTCGCCGGGCGTGAAGCGGTTGCTGTGGTCGCGTGGAACGCCACGACGCGGGCCACCTCTAACCTTCAGAGGTGCGGCTCGCGTGGGGGCCCCGCTGGTACCACTTTGCATCTTCGGAGGAGCTCGTCGCCACGGTGAGCACCGGCCAATGAGCCTATCTCGCCGGTCGGTCGACCAACCGTGGGTCATGAGGGCCCAATTGGCAATGATCGAGGAAACCCCGGGTGCACAGACACGGGTGCATAACGTTTGCATGCGCTGGTTTTTCGTTTTAAGGAAATGGGTTTTGAGAAATGGTTTAAAATTTGATTCAAATGCTTAGTAAATGTATATATCAAGTTGTGTTGCTCCAAAACGTATGAAACAAATTTTGTTATGCTTCTTGTGACTAGATCTATCTGTTAAAAATATTGCATGTCAAATTTGTGATAATTTTCTGTGTAGCTTTATTTAAAGTGAATAAATGCTGATTTCTGAGAAAATGTCTAGTAAATGAAATATACCTCAGAAAAATATGCTTCCAGTTTTGTTAGTTTCCTTGAGTGATGTACTTTCTGTGAAAAATGTATGCCATGCATGTGCTGTGGGAAAATTTTGAGGTGTAGTTCAAGTACCTTAAATGGCTGATTTTTGTTATTTTTGCTAGAGAGCAAAATTTGTATAAAACATGCATGTGGTAATTTTTGTATAGTGATTATTTACTGTTTAGAATCTAGGAAAAATACTCAATTTGTTGTTTGACACTTTTCATAGTACAAAGTATTTTCATGCTCATTTTTATGCCATAGCTTGTCATTTTTGTGTAGGATAGTTTACTTACCCAAATGCCATGAAATTTTTATGGTAGTCTACTTAGAGTAGTACTATGCTACTGTAATTTTCTTAGATTTTTATAAGCACCAGAAATATAGGTTGTTGTTGTAGCCTTAGTTTAAAAAGAAATAAAATAATCCTCTTTAATGCAAGATTGTTTAATAATAATAGCTTTGGTGTATCTTTGAAGCATTTGATAAGATGTGTTGACTTAAACATATTAGTAGTAGAAGAGAATGCAGTAGATGACATGTGCTTGTAGTATATTTTCTTGGATGATGTTGACTACCTTGCATTCAAACATATTCATTGTATTCATCTCATTCGATGCACCGTTTGCATAATCCCTTACGCGCATTGCATCATACAGGATCGCAAACCGAGAACCCAGTCGTCATACCCGAGGAGCCCGAGGAGCAGCTCGAGTGCCAGCAGCAAGGAAGTGCCGAAGCCGACGAGGAGGACGTTGAGGAACTTCCGGAGTGCCCCGATCACCGTCCGAGCTCCTTCGAGAGAGGCAAGCCCTGGAGCATCTTTCTTTCGGTTTGCAATGATTTCATTAAATACTTTACTTTAAATTGATGCATTACGTTCAGGAGTTGTTTGCAACCGTTGCTGCATTATACCTTGTTTACCTTTGTTATACTATATCCTTGTTACCCTGGTATCCGCAGTCGAGTCAATGCTTAGCTGGCTTAGACCGGTAGAAGTCGGGTGATTTCCTGTCACCACTGCGAGCTATAGGTGGTTACCGGATGCATTTGGATGGCTATGAAGTCATGGTATAACTAAGTGTTAAATGAAGTTGAGACCGGGCGGAGACTTGCGGGTTTTGGATGTAGTGTTTACATCAGGTCGATTAAGGACCGACCGTTGTTGGGCCTCGAGTCATGTTGAACGCATGCCTTACATTTAGCCGGCGGATAAAGTACCTTCCGACCACGGTTTGGGAGATTTTTGGGCCGAGTAGATTGCCCATGCAGCCAAGACCGTGTCAAGCGGTGTGGTAGGACACGGGCGGGATGATAAAACCAAAGTGCAATCGGTCGGCCCCGGTACATGTGGTTCCTAGCAAACTCGAGATACCGGAAAGTTGACTCGGTGATCAATATCTCACTTTAGCGGGTGAGTGAGATTTGTGTAAGGAATAAATCACCGGTGGTTAGGAATCGATTCGAATCGCCATCGCTCCCGGATAGTGAGCACTTGACTTGAGTTACTTCATCGTAGTAAATGTTTATGGAACACTTGGACGCTTATAGTGAATATGACAAGTATAGAAGTTGTTTAATGATCGGTGGTTATCATTAATTGCTTAATCACATGTTTACTCTAGTATAGGTGCAAATCTAGTCGATGAGTTAATAATAATTAACTTGACAATAATGCTTTTAGAAAGGTTCTTGAAATGCTAAAAATGCTTCTTTTTGCAAATGAGTCACTACCCTACTATAAAGCCTGCATAATCCTTGGCGTCATTTATTTTCGGTTATATCGGGTAAGTCTAGTTTGAGTACCTTCTCGTACTCAGGGTTTTATTCCCACTTGTTGTAGATGGGCAGATGTATTACGGCTATTGTATCAACTGCCTCTATCCTGCGATGGGTGATGCTTAGGACCATGGGCATGGTCATTCCTTACGTCTCATCTAATGCTTTTGTTGGAGATGATCATTCGCTGGCACTATATTTAAACTCCGCGTGAGTGTGTGTGGTTTGAACAAATGACTTCCGCTACTTTTATTCGAACTGGTTTGTAATAACTATGTTTAAACTCTGATGTATCTGAGATTGCGAACTTTTATGTAATATGTGATGGTGACCGCTAAACTTATTACGATCATGGCTGGGACACGAGTTGGTTTGAAATCCTTTGTGATTTCACGGACTACCGGGTTATACGGGCTTAAGTTTGTTCAATCGTCTGCTCTGGTGGATGATTTTCTTACTTAATTTCGTATAATTGGTCGGTTCTGTTACAAAAGCTCTCAAATCAGTAGTGGCACTATTCTTCCTCTTCATGTTTCAGACTTAAAATTAAAATCACACAAGTATAAATTGTCATAAATTCACAAGCATTGGTAAATTGCAATCCCAATTACCAATTTTCTAATTTTTGAGACCATAAAAAATGCTCATGGCTCACCAATGTTACATAGTGCTCCGGGCCTCCGGCTTGCTGTCCTGTCTCTGCTCGCCTGCTGCCCTGCTCCCGTCCTCAGTGCTCCGCCGCCCGCCGCCCCGTTGTTGTGGCCTTGTGGTGCAGCCGGCTTGCGCGCGTGGGCCGCCGTGCGTGGTGGTCCTGCGGCAAGGGCGCCGCCGCGCCTCCGCCCTCGCCGGCTCGCCAACCGCCGCCGCTTGCCGTTAGGGTTGCGGTCTTGCGGATGAGGAACAACAGAGCGTCAGGAGGACATAACGGATGAGGAACGAGCGTCTCAGGAGGACAGGAGATGAGGGGGACTGGGGGAGTCGGCCGACTGGGCCAATTGGGCCGTTTGGCTAGCGGACCAGCACGGGGATGGACACAGGGAGTTGGCCTTGGCTGACCTGGGCCAATTGGATTGACTTGCTTTTTATTTTTTGATGCATATACATAGATACACTATATATAATTTTTTTTTGCAAAAATAATGGGTATTCAGTTGCATACACTTGAATACAAGTGAGCCCGCCCCTGCGTCTCCCCCACTTTACCCTGGGCGAGTGACTCGGACAGCCGGACGACAGGGTTGTCAGCTGCTCAGCTCCGGCCGTCCGGCGTCCGACCACACGGTTACACGGCTGGATCTGAATCCTCGCCGAGTGAACTGCGGCTGTAACCGCTATCAACGACGAAGCAATGGGGTGATAAGTGATTAGTGACAGGCAGGCTGCTGAAAGATGTGGCGCGTAATTGCACAGTGAGCAAAATCTGGAAAGATGACGGAGTTACTGGTCATGGATGGCACGTCACGACAGTTGGTATGGCCCTGCGCAGATAGCTAGCCCAATTGTCTCTGCGTCCAGTACTGCTAGCAGCCAAGCAGATGACCTCTGGCTGATATGATAAGTATATGATAAGTAGTCCAGTTTTCAAGAAAAAAAAGGATATGGTAAGTAGTCCTACAAAAATGGAAATACGTACGTAGGCAACTTTCATTTCAGGTCTCTGGCCGTCCTGGTTCCTTGATTTAGGAACGATTCTTCGGGAAGAAGATTACCAGGTCAAATGCTGTGAAGCGTGAGCCGCTAGATGACGAAAGGAATAACTTACACCCACCTTTTTTTTAGAGATGCGGTGATTGTGCATCACCAGCTTTAGGAATCACAAGGAAGATATTTGTGCAGCTCTGACCCTTTAGGTTATAGAAGATTCAGTATTGATACCAATAATGTATATTTACAACATTCATTGTCACATCAAAATGAACTCAAAGGCCACAGATTCTCAATAATATAACATGATGATATACTATACTACGTGAAACGTACGTAAACTTTTTCATCTGCAAAGGAATTGGGAGATCAAACATCATGATACCGTGACAATGCTGCGGGTGACATGATTAATTGATTATCAACAACCCTACAGAAAATCATACAGGAAATGTTACACATTTGCCTCCGTCACTTCGCTTTCTATAGTCATGCCAAACGTTCTATTCACCGTAGAATTTCAATAACCACTTCTACTGATCCGCGTGTCTCCTGGCTATTATTTTGACCTCTGTGATCTTGACGAGCAGGTAGGAAACACTGAGGTGCTGGGTTATCAGAATTCTCTGGATCGGCCGGGAGTTGCTGGATGCTGCGTGCTGATGGCATGGCAGCCTGCAGCTCTTTCAGTGAGACCCGGCATATTGGGCAAGTCGTCTGCTTCTGCAACCATAAATCTAAGCAGGCAAGGTGAAAGCTGTGGTGGCATGTTGGTATGATTCGTAGAATCTCTTTCTCCCTGTACTCGCCTAAACATATTGAGCACCTGTTAAAACAAACAAACATTAAAGTGTATAGCTGTCTTAAACTAATAATTTATACAGCATTGTAGGCACTGTAGGCATCACAGCGACTAAGGTTAGTCCCAATGCTAAAAACCACAGGTAGTTTCTATGACTATCAAATCATGCAGACATTACACATAGAGATCATACTTCCAGTGAATAGTTTCTTCAGACTATTTTTTTGCCCAATCACATGTCGTCTGTCTCCATTATCTACCTATCACATATCTTCATATCTTGGTTCCTGTATAGATATAGTTTCTTATCTAAGAAAGAATTTTCTCCTCTCTCCCTCTTCTTTAATTATAATACCACATCATCATTTTGCTTAGTTGGTACCTAATTAATTAATATAGACCAACTCTAGTTTCTAGGTTGGGAGTGCCCTAAGGCTGATCAGTGCGGCAGTGCCCAAGACTTACTTATTACTCGATACAGTAGTTGATAGACAGTAAAGCAAATTGCACCCATTAATAATCCAACAAATAAGAAACACAAGTTTGCACATTTGGTCCAAAGTTATGTAGATTTTAAATTGAATCGGCTGCAAGTATGCACCAATCCAAAATGAACTAGTAATTCTTGTTAGCTTCTGAATCTGCACGTTGTTGTGTTTCCAAACAAAGCATATGGCTCAAGAAATTCAGGAGCTGTACCAAAACATGAAGCAGCAAGGTGATCAAGCCATTCAACTTGAATTTACGTGATAAAGCAAAATATGGCTAATATTATCTCAAAAACACAGCCCACACATGTGGGTTTCTTATGTTTCTATGTTTGTCAAATGGAACTTCCAGCAAAGCTTCGAATGATTAGGGGATATAGAAACAAACTGTTAAATTTAAAAACGGGGCTAGGATCTAAGAAAAGAAACAAATAAGCAATAAGGAACAGATCTTATATGTACATAAGAGTTGCAACTGTATGCCTTATATTGACAGCTCAAGGATCATGGGTCTGGAGCTACTCCAGGTAGTTTATAGCATCAATCACAAGTGACAGACTACTTAGCTCAGTCTTCATATTTCGAGTGAATCAGAAAATTCAGTGATGATAATTTTGAAAATGTTCCATTGACAATGGGAGCACATTTATATTGATGCACAATGATAACAACTAATATTTAGTTCATATGAAGGAATTAACACTTACTGCACATCGTCTTTAGAGCTGAAAGCCTCACAATTATACTTCATAGTAGGAATTGCAGCAATAACCAAAGGTTCCAACCCAGAACGAGTGTGCTCTATCTGAACAACGCAAAAGGACAGGATTAAATTTCAACTTTTATAATAAAATACTAGCGTATTTCGCTATTCATTATTTCGACCAAAACTATAATGATCTTCAGATAAAATTTGGTCAGGTCGTTTTTCTTTGTTTACTAGGCCCATGAGTTTTACTTTCTACTAGGTGTTTGTGTGTGTGCGACCTGTATGGGGTCTCTAATCCCCCTATTTTCTTCTTAATATAATGAAACACAACTCTCCTGCGTGTTAAAAAAAAAATGGATAACATCAACAAGAATAACAACATGATCAGCAATTCATAAATTACTGTCTCGTTGTAGTAACAATACCAGTGAAGAAAAACTGCTAGTTTAACTAGTGCTGTCATGGCCTAGGACTGACTGGCTTAGGTACTGTAGTGCCACCCTTGCATCATCTTCAAGTCCATGATAATGAGGAAGGATCATGAATCTAGTTGGTTAGGGAAGTTTATCTCTTATAATAGGAAATGATCCCCCAAAATAGGGAAGGCCAGGATAGGTTAGTTAGCAGTAAAGTAGAGCCTCCTCTATACAGAGCACCCCCCAGTACCCTTCCAAACTTATAAGCAGAAGTTGATCAAGGGCATAGTCCGTCTCTATGCCCCTGGCTTGGTGTTGACCCTTGTGTCCGCTACTCCCTTCATGTAACCCTAGGACGCCTGCCACCTCTTGAGTCTTGACCACCGCCTCCCTCTCCCTCTCTCTTCTTAATTCTCCCTCAAATGTCCTCTCCAGTCTCAGGTAATTTATACAAATAACATTTACAGACACACAAAACCAACCAATTTCCAGATACACAGAAATTACTTAAGAGGGATGCTTTGCGAGATTGATAGAACACTAACTCTCTGAGAACTATACTTTTGCTTGATTGGCTTATTCATTTTCTTAAATTTAGTACATGTATGGAAAAAAAAAGAATGCACAATGGGTCCTCAAAAACAAAGTTTACTCCAAAGAGAGTGATTCACATACTTGTAATCGACGTAATATAAGCGACAATGAATTGGAATAGATCATTGAAAAAGAGTGCTGAGTGAGTCAATGCTAGTTGGTGACATGAAAAATATATAATAACATAGACAGAATATAGCCTAAAACTCTGATCTTTTTTCAGCTGGTCCTGTGCAGATATTGTCAACTTGTTGATTGTAATGTTTGTTCATAGATGCATAGGGAACTCGAAATAGATCAGAGATGCTACCTAAGCGATCAAGGCTGGAGGCAAAACAAATGAATCCAGATATATCAAGCTTGCACTCATAATTACCAGATCAGGGATAAAAACAATCATAGGGGCAATGAAGATATGATATTTCAGCAACTGCCAACAAGGCCCTTCAAGATTAGGACTTCAATTTCACTATAGTCACATACTGATAGAAGGATAATACGAAAGCAAAGTTAGTAACATGTTATTTTAAGGGGCACCAAATTTTCATAAAGAATCTAAAAAAAATCTAACACCAAGGAATCTAAAGCCACTTTGCCTGCATCACACCCACTGGAAAAGCAGGTTGGACGCTTGTGTCCCTATTTAATTCCCCATTTGATTTGTGACGCACTAAGGCTATACATAGCAATTTCCCCATCAATACAGGAAATAGTCATCTAATCTTCCGTTTTCGATTTTTATAGCAGACAGAACATAAAATAATAAAGCAGGGGACACTTCAGTGTCCATGCCTTTACTGAGACACGAGAAAATTCCCCTTCGTAGGAAGGACCGTGGACTAGAGTCACAGCAGCAGCACAGTGTCAACAGGGAAGTGGGCCGAGGCATTGCACGCACCGGGCCATCGAGTTCCGCGACGAGGTCCGGCGATGGCGACGCACGGGTGTCACCGCGGCGTTCGCGGCAGCAGATGAACCTCACACAGACGAACGCAGCGAAGGCTGCGGTCATCCCGAAGCCGAGCGCCGCGCTGACTAGGTTCAGCCCCGACCCAAACATGCCCGCTGATGCGCTTCACCCCGAGTTTGACCCCCACCTCCCCTCCGCCTCCGTCCTCACACCGACACCACCTACCACCAGCCACTGCGAGGCGAAAGAGGTGGGGCCTACCGCTTGAACAGGCGGCTGCCGCTGCGGCGGATAGATAGGAGAGCGGTGAGGTCGCGGCCCGGGGCGCCCATTTGGTGGGGCGCGGGCGCGATGCGGAGCTAGCCGGTTGAGGCCAACTGAACTGGGTGCGACGCGACGGGGCCGCGACGGAAGGGGCGACCGGTGGGGCAGCGGCCGGCGGCGTGGTGCGGAGGAAGGGGGCGGACGAGCGCTAGCCGATGGAGGCTGGAAGGGGGCGGCTGCTGTTGTGACTGGTGAGCTGCCTGAGACGAGGGGAGTTCTCCGGGTCAAGGCGAGGGCGAAGGGCCGAAGGTGACGGGGGGCGTGGAACCCGCTGCGCGGTTGGGTTCGGGCAGGTGCCGTAACGGAGAAGAGAGGTTTTCCACTTGGATAAAGCGATTTCCCGGCGGCTACGTCGGGTGTCGTCGTCTGTCACGTTTTCCAGACGGTACACCGCTGCATCGCGTCACAGAATACCCCATCCCGGCCCATAACAAGACAGGAGGGCCGGCCCACGCCGAGCCCAGCCTGTGCTTTCGCTGCATGATGCTACCGGGCCGTCGGGGAAATCATCGGGTTCGAGTCAACCTACCTGCTCAATGCCTCGATCCGTTTTTTCTTTTAGCCCACATATAAAAGTCGGCCTAGGTGTGTTTCTTTGCCTAGAGTCCACGTTTGGCCCATATAGCCTAGTTGGTTGTCCAGGCCAGTAACCCTTTTTTTTTCCAGTTATGGTGTATATTTACCTATGTTTTTATTGTTTTTTAATAATACTCTTTTCGTTCTGAATTATAAGTTGTTTTGGTTTTTCTAGATATATATTTTTTTTCTACACATCTAGATATATAGTATGACTAGATGGTAAAAGTTATATATCTAAAAAAGACAGAATGACTTATAATTTAAAACGGAGAGAGTAGTACGGAAGAACTTTGCAGTGTTTAGCAAAAATCTAAAAGTATATTAGTACAAGGCAAACAAGGATAGCTAATGTTTCCAACTAGAATAGGCTGCACTAGATCAAATTCAATATTTATAATGCATTTTATCGAAGCATTTGGACGTTGTCAAAATAGATACTTCCCAAACACCTTTCAAAAACAGATACTTCCCAATCTATATAAAATCCAAAACCATATTCCAACATTGCATGCCCTCATACCTGTCGAAGATAATGATCTTGTAACCATAATTGTGATATTAATACATACAAATATTTATCTTATGAAATATATTTTTATAGTTTAACCTTTTGATTTCACAAATGTTAATAGGGAATTTGGTGTTTCTACCCTTATTCCATAGTGCAATGGTGATTTTACCCCTCGTTTTTTAATTTTGTGATTTTACCCACCTTATATTCAAATGAAGCTCCCGTCTACCCCTCCTTTGTAACACCGTCTAAAATTGTTGGATTAACTGGTTAAAAAGAAAGAAAGAAAAAAGAAAAGTCACCTACACAAAAAGACCATGGTACCCCTCACTCCCTATCTCCTTTGTCACGGTCTCTCGAATCGTCCCCGAAGGGAGTCGCGACTCGCGGCTCGACGCCCGGACTCGCGCTAGGGTTTCGCTACCTGGCGGCGCGGCAAGCGGCGGCGCTGCTCCTCCTCCCTCCGGCACGCTTCCCCCTCGGCTCGTCTCCTCCTCCCTCCGGGTCGCTTCCCTCGGCTCGTCTCGTCCTCCCCCGGCGGCACGGCTACCGACTGGGAGCGCCGCGCGGGCTCCGCCCAGCCCACTACCCCCGGCTCGCACCCTCGGTGATGCGGCTGGGGGTCTCGCTCAGCCCCACCCCGCAAGCTGGAGCCCGCAACAGCGGCATCTTGACCGACATCTCTAGTCAGGCACCATGGAAGAGCCGGCTACCATGGAAGAGCCCAGGTATATTCAACAATTTCTGAGATGTGTGCTTCAATACAGTAGAAAAATAGCCGCGATTAGTAGATGTGTTAACTCGTTTCTTCCCTACTGTGATTTATAGGCTAAATCTAAATCACAGTAAATTGGAACTTGTTGTTAGAGTGCGCTTGTTTTACAGCTTGCCAGACAGTGGTCCAAAAACATGGTGGCAAGGTAGAACTTTGCCAACCAAAGTTGTTGACACAAATAGCTTTGGGCTACTGCAGCTAGTTGATTTCATTGCTGAGCATTGCTTGTGGCATGATTTGGAGAATGATTCTATGGAAATTAAATCTGATGAAAATTTGTTAGAGTGGTTTCTAATCAATGTAGAGAATGGATTAGTATGTATCAATGCTCAGATAAATGATTTTGAGGGGTCACTGCAATTTTCTCCAACAAAGAGAAGGTTCCACCCTACTATGAGGGCTAGTGTGCTCCTAATTGAGGAAGGCACCAGTGAGAGAGCCACAAATAAAATTGCAACAAACAAAACAGCCACGGCCCCATCCAAAAAAAGACAATATCCAAAAAAAAGAGAGCTGCCACCAAAGAAAATGCTTCTGAGGCTATTGATGCAGATGTACTAAGTGATAGCAGCTATGACACTGATTTGGCTGCATCATCTGACTCTGATGATGCTTGCAGCGGTGGATCCAGAAAATATTTTAGGGGGGGCTGAACAACATTGCTGTTCGATCTTAAGTCTCAGCCCCCCTACACTATAGAACTTTGCCTAAAAATTTATAGGGACTCTACAGTAATTTGCACTGTTTCGGGATGGGTAGAGGGGGCTTGAGCCCCCCCCCCCGCCCCACTGCTGGATCCGCCCCTGGATGCTTGGTCTAACTCTGACACTGAATTTGATCCTGATGGTGAGATTGTTGATGAGGAAGATGAGTATGATCATCCCATGTTTTCTTATGATGCTGATGATCCATGTATTGATGTAAATATGGTGTTCCTAGATGTGGATCAGTGCAAGTTAGCAGTCACACATCATGCTATCTTGCATGATCATGCTTTCCATACCTTGCAAAAAGACAAGACAAGATTTAGGGCCATATGCAAGAGAGCTGAACAAGGTTGCAAGTGGACTTTTTTTGCATCTACAAGCAAGAAATACATTGGCTGCAAGGTAAATGATGATTATTTGGTTCATTTTGTTGCAAGCGTACCTATTCTGATGACTTGTTTTTATACTTTTTCTGTATAGGTTAAGATAAGCGGACCAAAGCATACTTGTGGTTCATTCAACAAGTGTGGGCTTGGGAAAGCTGAAGTAACTATGAATAGATTCAGGCATGCAGTCAACTTGGAGGAAAAGACTTGTAGCTGTTGGGCTTAGCAAGTGACTGAAAAACCATGCAACCATGCTTTGACTTTCATTGCAAAGATCAAGAGGGGGTACAAATGAATGAATTTGTCCATGAATACTTCTCTGTTGATAGGTACAGAAAGGCATATGCAAGTAAATTTAATCCAATGACATCCAAAGATCAATGGTCCCATGTTGACTTAGGCTACAAAATCAACAAACCCAAATTGAGGAGGAAACTCGGGAGGCCAAAAAAATCTAGGATCAAGCCATTTGATGAAGTTGGCACTAGCAAGAAAAGAAAGATGTGTTTGGAATGCAATGAACTAGGCCATACAGCCAAGACTTGCCAAGGAGGTCCTACAGTTAGTCAAAAGAGGAGGCAGTCAACACCACAAGATGGATCAAGACAAGGAAGCAATGACCCAATATGAGTCATACATGCATTGCTGTCCAATTTCATTTATTTAGCCCAATTATTTATATTTACTTGTACTAACAATTCTTCGAACGAACATTTAGTGCAAGTACAATTGCTAGTGCAAGTGGTACTGTAACTGGAACGGGAAGGGGAAGGGGAAGAGGAAGGGGTTCAGCAGAGGACAACAATGAGACAATGTATGTGATTCATGGTTGTTGTTCGTTACTATTTTTCTAGCAAATTTTAGTGCAAGTACAATGTATGTGATTTATGACTTGCTTTTACTCTATTCTTGTTAAGTGCAAGTGGTACAGGAAACCGAAGGAGAAGAGGAAGGGGAAGGGGGAGGGGGAGGGGAAGGGGAAGGGGAAGGGGAAAGGGAAAGGGAAGAGGAAGGGGAAGAGGGTCAGGAGAGGCCAACATTGAGATAAAGTAAGACATAGCACATTTGCTTCTCTTTACTACATATTTTAGTAACTTTACTAACATAATTATGCTCCTTTTTCATACAAAGTGCAAGTGCTTCAGGAAGGGGAACAGGAAGAAGCGGGATATGAGAAACTTCAGGGAGGCTTGCTACTTTGTTGGGTTTCAATGTTTGATATGTAGCTTACTGCTAGTTGCCTAGGAAACTCACTACTAGTTCCTATTTTTGTTCCTCATGTCATTTGGTGTTTCACATGTTATTTGGACCTCTATATTGGTGTTTGACATGTTATTAGGACCTCTGTGTTGGCATCTAATATGGTACTGTGATGACATGTTATATGGATCTGGTTTGTTGCCGTTAATGCAATATGTGTGAAATTAATTTGTTGTGTGATATTAAATTCTCTTTATATGGATTGTCAGCAGAAATGCTGTCGAATTTCTAAAAAATCTGTATACAAAATGTCAACTTGTTGATTAAAACAAGGGTAAAAACACAAATAGCATAATAAACACAAGGGTAGAAACGCATGGGCAAAATTATACTTTTGTCTAAAAGTTAACACCGTTACAGGGCTTAACAGACCAGGGGTATAGTCTTCGTTCGTTTTGAAAAATCAGGGGTAAAATCATAAAGTAAAAAAAAAAGATAAAATCACTATTTCACTTAAAAACAAGGGTAGAAACGCTTAAGCCCACGGACTGCGTGATCGCTTCGATTAGGGCTCCCATCCTATGACTGATTTTGAGGCCTGCGTTTCTTCAGGCATGCATGGAATCCGAATCTCGAAAGAAGAGGATAAAACGACGAGCTGCGGGTGA